AAGCCCTGCGATGTGCAGTCGCTTTGCGGACCGTTGACTACAGAGTTGTTATCTCTGGGTAGGTTTGGTCTACGTGTCGATGACATGAAGCGAACACTACGCTTCAAACTGGAGGCTGTAATTTGTGATGCCCCAGTAAGGGCCTTCATAAAGAAAATTACAAACAGCAATGCCTACTACGGCTGTGAAAGGTGCTATGTAACGGGTGATTACATTTGCCCGTCTGTGCTCAACAGTTCAAAATCCTAAGACCCTAGATACGTTGAAATTCATTAATAACTGAATTTCTGCGTCGATTTTCCATCGATTTTTTTACCTGTCGAAAATAACACGTAAATCCATTACACTCTCTCCAATTAACCATGACCCATGTTACGTTTGCTGTCGAAAAAGTAGATCTTTCAGCCATCCTCCGTTTACAGAAGTTCATCGAGAAACATGAGCACATTTTTGCGATTCTAGACTCACTAACAGACTCAGATACATTAACGAACAGCTTAACGAGCCTTCCACAAAGTGAATCGATTATACATTTGGTTTCGTCAGAAGTCGCGGATAGATCGAAACGCAGACTCAAATTTAGTTATCCGCTATATTCCCCACATGGTTAACCCGACACCATCAATTCAAAATTTTATACATTCGTGTGGCCTAAACGTCAGAGTAGGTAACAGTACAAGACTTCACTCCAGAAGCAAAAGTAAACCCGTCTTATTAACCTTCTACTCACAGACCGAAGCTGAGATTGTCCAACAAAATCCCGAATTCAACAGAAATCTGCAGAAGCTAAAAAAATTTATAGGTTCAGATTTGACACCGATGCAAAGACGTAAACTTCGGGAAAAAGACACCAGCTACAAAAACGATAATCAGCACTCGGTCCCTCAACTGATCCTCTAGCCACTACTTCTACTTCTAGCACTAACAAAATGAAATGCACAGGCCAGCGTAAACAAAATGATAAACCCACAGCCTCCGCAGAAGGACCTCCAGCATGTACTTCTGACTCTAGTTCTCATGGCAATAAGCGCGCAACTGCAAAAGCAGTTAAAACTGCTGGGCAGAAACAAGCGAGGGAGGCACAACAAATAACAACGTTCAGCTAAAACAGAACGAGGATGCAGACGCCGGATACAGTCATGTGACACCATTAGATAGCAATATGAGTTTTACTACGCCCCCCAAAAGCGATTAACGAGTACTAGAAAACGACTGCCAAACACGATACATAAACCAAAAGGCCATATTAAGCACACCAGCACAACGAAAACGTACTAGGTATATTGACATAACAAATGGAAGCCCACCAAACTCTAATCAAAAACAAACAAGCTTCTACAACTGCATCTCGACTCCCTAACATCCAACTGCATGGCATAGGAATAAGCCAAACCACTCTAGCATTTCAAACTCCTTACCACCTAATTACAACCCTACAAATTACTTTGGCCTTTTTACACTCCCCCAACGGAAAATCCATTTAGGTACAATTACCACCTAGTTAGCCCACCTCCCCATATTTACCCTCAGCCCATACACACTAGCCCATGCACTCACATTACGACATACGCACCACCATATCCTCCGAGAACCACATATCTACCTCCATTTAGTACATCACTCAGTCAAAGCACCCCCAGAAATCCATACCCCACCTCTTCCTTACCCGACATCCTAAAGATAGCTCTTATAAATTCAAGATCGATTGTCAACAATATATCTTAACTTAGAACTTTTGTTGAAATATATAACCCCGATATAATTCGCATTACAGAAACATGGGCAAATGAACTCATATTGAATGCTTCCCTATATGTCCCAAATTATAATTTCTATCGACAGAACCATGTTTATAAACGAGGCGGAGGTTGTCTTATCTACATCAAAACTAGCATTGAGAAAAGGGATATTAATGTCCCAATCGAAACCTTTGCTGGAGAAGCGTGTTTTTCCACAGTAAAATCTCATTTCCAAGAAAACTTTCTAGTCGGATGCCTCTTCTTCCCTCCAGAATGAAGTTGTGATAACACAAGCCTCAACCTCCTAATTAACAAAATAGCTAAATATTGCAGGCGGCCTAAACCACCCAGAAATAAACTGGGTCGAATTATCAGCACCTACCAGGCACGAAGAATTCATGTCTTCAATTGTCTTTAATAACTGGACACAAATAGTTGACAAACCCACCCGAAGAAACAATATACTAGACGTTATTTTCACCAACGATATCTGGCCCCTCTATATGCACTACGACTGCGCAACCTTTGAAAGTGACCACAAAGCAATAATATCAACACTCCCCTTAAACGCAAAACTAGCACCCCATTTTAGTAACACCCGTCTAAACCCAAAAGAACTTGACGAGGACTCCATGAGCAATTCTATTCGATCATTGCACTGGAGCCCATATCTTCTTACAACATCCCCTATGGAAGCAGTTAACCTATTGTAGTCTGTCCTATTTGTAATTCGAGATACCTTGATAGACGAAAGACTCCCGTATAAGAAATCACCAATCCCGAACTTCCTTTCAACTAAACTAAAAAAGCTACAAAAACAGCTACGCGACCCCTCTGTGAGTTATTTTTCCACACTTCGACGAATTAGGGAAATTCACGACCTAGTCACGAAAAT